CAGATTACGATAAATTACAGCACCAATTACTGTTCAATATTCTCTAAACTTGGATGCTAATGGACAAGATTAACGAGTCATTGATAAGTAAGATAATTTTTTAAAATTTAGTAACGAAATAAAATTTGACTGATGTGTCCTTCCCAAGCAAAACATAAACTGAATAATTTTCAGTGGTTAGCCAACTAATATCAGTTCGTGATGAATAACAACTTGGAATAAATAAAATCTTTACAAGACCTGGAAACTGAACTGCACGATTTTAATTGAATAATGACTAGCTAAGAAAACAAAAATGTGAGTTTCTGATTGTTTGAAGCTTTTCATCCTGTTATTCGAACTCAATACCAATGGCATTGAACGCCAGGCTCACAATAGTTACCTAGCGTTTAACGACTATAAATACTGCTCGGGCAAATTTCATCACGGAATTATTTAATCCATATACAGAAACTGGTACACTTTATCAGACTTTTTTGCTACAGTTTGTGATCATTTATTGTTGATGAGACCGATGGCTGTCACTGCTGCGTGGTGGTTGCGCTTGCATATCGCAATGATCCAACGAGATGTGCTGGTAGAACACTTGTTCCCTACCAGAAAGGTTCTTGGGATAATGGTTAGACGAAAAGCAGTTACCGTTGTATTGTAAATTACTACACTATGGTGGAGGGTCTAAGGATGCGGGTGTACTGCTGCTAGCCCGATGAGATGTGACAGCAGTAAGGTGTTTCACTTGATGCCACGTTGATGCTTCATTTTCAAAGGGACGAGTGTTTAAAAAAGGTACGTCCTAAAAAAACACATTCCTCCCTGCCCCATCGCTTTCAGATCAGGCGGTATAAATTTCTCCTGTCCAGCTTCAAAACTCACCTCAGGGGCAACCGGAGACCCAATGGTTAGCCAGCTCTCATAGACTCGCTGGTGTAGGCATAGAAGTGAGTTGAGCAGGAAGTGCGCTCCTCGACTGGATCCCAGTAAACAGCCATCTATATACTGTTCAACTGAATGGATTTGTAAACGACAAGATGTGGTTGCAGAGAAGAAAACTGTTTTCGACGAAGCCATTTACTAAGCTGTACATTCATGAATATATGTTAGAGTGAGCAGAACGTCCCAAAATAACTCCCGGTTAGGGGGGAAAATATATTGAATAACTGAAAGAAGTTAACTGATACACATTTTGAGTTCAGAGTGGAAAAATTGACAAGGAATTATCAAATCAAATGTAAGTATGAAATATAGAAAGTAGGAAAAAGAAGGGTTATGAAAATAAATTTGTAATTATATGATAAAGGATAAATCTATGACACAGTAAGGAAATGAAAAAAGGATTATAAAAATGTGTAGTTACCTAATACAGGATGGATCTGTAACACTCAAGGATTTATGATGGCCATATCAAAGAAAAAGATTGTGCTACAGGACTGGTCTGCTACAAGTAGTCCCAGTTTAATAACAGAGAGTGAAGTGATGGAATGCGTCAGCCACCTCACTTACACAACGAGTTGCATCAACTCGAACAGCCTGGTCGATGACAAAATCTGAGCTCGGATATGCAAGGCCCATTTAGCATTTGCCAACATGCTTCTTCCGTGGTGCCGACTGGCGAGATAGCCGACCATCTATCAAAGGACGAGTATACTGTTCTGCACTCTGTTCTGTCCTGTTGTACGGCTGTGAGACATGGTCGTTAAAAGTAGAAGACATGAAGTGACTATAAGGTTTTCATCACAGGTGTCTTTGTAGCGTTGCTCGCGTTTGGTGGAATCACCGTGTGAGGAATGTTGAGGTCAGACGAAGGGTACTAGGCGAGATAGGAAAGTCGATTGGTCAGGTTGTGAACCTGATTGCTGATTGAGACAGATGGCTTGGATGTGTACTGTGCATACTGAGTCACCACTCACTTCGATGTGGTATGGCGGGTGAAGTTGGATTAGGTTGGAAGAGGCTTCAGGGTGGTCAGACCAAGACGTGACACCAGTCGACGAAGTCTCTTACTACTGGTCTGAATCGTGTGTTGGATGTGTGGTTGGGGTCCTCGAGACGAACAGAATCAGGGGTTGGGGATGATTGGTGACATGGCTGAAAATTGGTCACAGTGGCACAGATGTATTCATTTTTGACAACTTCTAGAGTTTGAATATTAGTACTAATCTTTATCTTCAGATTGTTTAGTCTCTCACACTTCTTTACCTGCTGTTTATCAGCCTTTTTCTATCCAACTATTCTTTTCGTACTACCGTGGGTAGCAACTAGAGCCAATGGAGTTACATCAGAGGTTCTACGTTAACTTTTCGGTCAGTCAGTCATTTTCTGGTGACTAGGAACGCAGTTAAGTGTTCAATGCTCAGAAATGGAAACGTATACACTTACTGAGATGAGAGTATACTCAACCAATATGTTACAAATAAAACGAATAACGTAACACCAAGATGGAATCCAAAAGCATTGACAACACTTTCATCCAAAAAATTAATATTTCACTGTAGAATGATTAATTCATTTCCTAAAGTCAACAAAAGGAATCTGTCAATTCGATTAACACGAATTCTGTTATTCTTTTGGGCAACGTATCTGTAAGAAACACCATATTTATATCACACACGGCTTAGCTTCTTTTTACGAAACAACAACACAGATTTTCTAGAGTGATTCTTACTTTAATTTCACACACCTAACCATCTTAACGACCTTGAATAATGCAATGAGAACATTATTCGTAGAATAAGATGATGGCATTTTATTGCATAGGATTTTGGTCAGTTAAATGAGTCAGTGCAGAGCGATATATCTACCATACATTCAATCTCGCAATGACTGCATGGTACTTGATAGATTAGGTTACTTTCCTTTATTTACTGGATTTTTTTGTCTACAAGATTTCTCTCTGAGTGGGTTTATGGGTTTAAATCCCACCCTAATTCCAGCATTGTTAAGAATCCTGTGTACACTTACTGACATCCCTGATTTATATGGCAATATGAGAGAGGATTTGAATTCGTTCATGTTGCAGTTACCCACTATTATTATTGTCTTTCTTATAAGTCCTTATTAACGTTTTAATAAATTCATGAGGGTTATTGTTAAGCAGCAATGTCTCTTTCAAACTCGTACGTCGATTACTCAAGCATTTCACCAAACCTGACTTGACAGATACGATGTGAAATCCAAGTATCTATTCTAGCCAGTAGGTTTCTTATAAGGACTGGTATCTGATCTGCCATCTCTTGATGTTGCAATTCTGAGGTTATTGTCCTTTTTCATTTTTTAACTTATCAGTGAACTGGATTGTATCTACAATCGAGTTTCTGTGATAAAACTTTGGATTTGTTCTGATTTCAAAACAGTCAATATGTCATCACCATACTTTTAGAATGGGTTGAAATGTTCCTAACTGCATCTGTCCAAAAAATGATCATGAGCAATAATTTATGCTCGAAACGTCAAGTAAATAATACTGTACCACTGTGTTAGAAATCAAGTAAATCAATCCAACATGGAATTTCAGCTACGATCAGGGATATTGGAGACTCCACCGCTAGTCTTTCTGTTTGTTTATATATCCTGTCTTGAGATTTGAAAACCAAGCAGGTTAGACACAATCATATTCTTGGTATAATTTCTTCAGTAGGAACTTTAGTTCTACTTCTGAGTTCATCGTCAGCGGTGATTTCACTTCTGACTGCCTCAAATGACATAGTCGGTATATTTGCATAGACACACGTTACACCAAAATTAACCACCTTTTACCAATCATCTAATTGTAAAGTATAATCCTACGGTAAGTGACTTGACATCCCAAGTAAGTGAAGTAGTCAAAGCAATCAACCATTTCACTCCCTATTGTACAGTACACAGTACATTTTCTGCTTTGGCACTAAATTACCATACCTACATTTGTATGGCTGCGAAAACTGGCCATCGGATCACTGAATGTAGATGCGCTAACCTAAGTGCAGTATAAAAAAGTCAAACAATGGTTTGCTCACCTCCAAAACTTTTTTCCGCTGTTATACTGGATCGAATTGGTCGACCCATGTTAGCATATGGGTTCAGACACGGATGCCTCGATATTGCCTAAGCCTAAATGTTCAGCTAATGGTGGCTAAGAGTGAAATTCAGGACATGCATCTTGTCCTATTTGGGACCTGTCAGCTGGATGCCTGCGTCCCGGTGAGTGGTTTTCACCGAGTCGAACCCCTAACCCATCGCTTCGAACACCAAGGTACTATCCACGATATCACTGGAGTACGAAAACCACCTGTTGTGCAACAGGTGTCAATTACTACTTATTGATGCTTGTAACCTCTCGTTGTCATACTGGATTGCTTGACCTCTGTTGGCAGACAGGTTTTCTGGATGGATGCGCGGATACACGTTCATTCACCCTGAAATGACGGGCGTTATGTTTGAGTCCTCATAGAGCAATGTCATCCACTGGGATGTAGGTACTCCCAGCTGACGAGTTCCAAATAGGATGAAACACGTGTTCTGGATTCCAGTGCTAGACACCAACAGGTCAATTATAACATAATGAACATATCTCGGAAAATACTTCCAGTAGTTGACAGCAAAAACCCACTAACGTTTTGATAGTGATGATCAATAAAACGTGACCAACTACCGCCCAATGATTGCCCGTGTTTTAGAAGTTATTACTCTGCAGGCAGAAAATTAAGACGTTTCATCACGAAAGCAAGCACTAGGAAAATCTATTCCAAGTCAGTCATGTACTAGATTACTTTATGCATTTTTCAGCTAACTTTACCGCCAGGCGGTGAAAAATGTAGTTTGTAGGATCTACCACTTTTGACACAATATTCGGTGCCTTAAGGGGGAACAAAAGGTTTCATTGAACCACTTCCAAAAATAATGGAACTCATTAACCTAATGCAAATTAATATACTGGTGTACATGCGACACAACGTGCGGTTATAAACGCGATGCTAATCCAGACGTGTATCGATGCTAGTGACTTCATTCTATTTCCACTATCTCTAGGAACAAGAATTTTGGTATGATTTACATACATTGATACAACGTACAATTTTGCCTGCGAGCATGGGTTAAACATGTAAGTACACAAGAAATGAATATTAATAAACACACTTAAAATTATTCTCAACATAAAATCGAAGTGCGAATTATTAGGTTATTACAACATGAAAGAATTCGTTTGATTTCTATGAACAGAAGCAGCGAGAAGTATTTCAGAACGCGATAAGAACCAACTTATTATAATTTTTGTAACAAAAAAAAACACAAGTCAAATGGAAATAGTTTATTTGCGTAAGTTTAAGCCCAATGTGAGTTTATTTCACTGAAATGATGCTCAGACGAACAGGATGAGGTTTCAAAATCGATTTCCACAGATGAAAAACAAGTCCTTCAAGACGCATGCATACTTATCAAGACGTTAACAATCAGTACACAGAAAACGATATTCTCCGAAAACGTCAAACGCATTCCTTAAGAACCCAAGGCTGCCGAGTTGGAATGCAGAGTAGGAGGTATTATATCACACACCATTTCAGAAAAATGACCGATTGACTTAGTGTTCAATGAACACGTACTCGTCAAGTTTTCCAAGTGAGCACAGTCTTCAACTGACTTTTCATGGTTTTCATTTGGATCAGATTTACTTTGGTTTTCTTCGTCTTCTTCTTCTGCTGTTTCGAGCCATGTTAACCAACGATTAACCTGTAATAATAACAAATGGTACAATAACACGATAATATTACTCACTAAATTATAAGTACAACCGGTTAACAAACATCTACGATACATCATTTTGAAATCTGCATTTCCTAATGAACGAAAAGTTAAACAGGGTTGATTTCACTGCTAAAAACTTTAACAAAGCAAGAGTAAACTGGAATTAACAATATCCAAGTTGTGTGTGATAACTTTCCATGGATGATTCTGTTATCAAGTTGTTAAAATGATAATTAATACATTTACTCTGTTAAATGTGAATTACAAACTGACATTTACATAGACACAAGTGATTATGGTAACTGTTAGCTACGTAAGTTTGTGTGGCTGAACTGAAACCAGACAAGGCTCTCTTCCACCATCTTCATTCACACGCATTTGATTCTGTTTCCTGTCTTTCATTCATCAGAAAACCCCCAGTTTTTAAACCATAAAAATATAATTTGCTTTGGATATCGATAGAACTAACTATAGTTTACCCACAAGCGCATAAATAAAAAAAAGTGTACACATGTAAGATAAGGAAACTTAAACTTAGAAAGAAAAACAAACCTTAACGCACTCAGCCACCATGCGCGCATTCACGCACCAGCCAATGAGCAACAACTACTGAGTGAGTGTGCCAGTCATTTGACAAGGTAGCCCAAACAAGGAAACGCATAGCGCAGTTACAATCAGTGACCCACTGGCTGATAGCTACATACACTGAGCACCACAAAAAAAAACCAAGTTCAAAGAAAACGTCATATCGAAGTCCAAAAAGTTGAGTCGGAGAATAAGCAATCTGAAGATAAAGATTAGTACTAATATTCAAACTCTAGAAGTTGTCAAAAATGAATACATCTGCGCCACTGTGACCAATTTTCAGCCATGTCACCAATCATCCCCAACCACTGATTCTGTTCGTCTCGAGGACCCCAACCACACATCCAACACACGATTCAGACCAGTAGTAAGAGACTTCGTCGACTGGTGTCACGTCTTGGTCTGACCACCCTGAAGCCTCTTCCAACCTAATCCAACTTCACCCAACATACCGCATCGAAGTGAGCGGTGACTCAGTATGCACAGTACACATCCAAGCCATCCGTCTCAATCAGCAATCAGGTTCACAACCTGACCAATCGACTTTCCTATCTCGCCTAGTACCCTTCGTCTGACCTCAACATTCCTCACACGGTGATTCCACCAAACGCGAGCAACGCTACAAAGACACCTGTGATGAAAACCTTATAGTCACTTCATGTCTTCTACTTTTAACGACCATGTCTCACAGCCGTACAACAGGACAGAACAGAGTGCAGAACAGTATACTCGTCCTTTGATAGATGGTCGGCTATCTCGCCAGTCGGCACCACGGAAGAAGCATGTTGGCAAATGCTAAATGGGCCTTGCATATCCGAGCTCAGATTTTGTCATCGACCAGGCTGTTCGAGTTGATGCAACTCGTTGTGTAAGTGAGGTGGCTGACGCATTCCATCACTTCACTCTCTGTTATTAAACTGGGACTACTTGTAGCAGACCAGTCCTGCAGCATCATCTTACATTTGACAGGTGCGAGACGCATGCTAGCCAAACAGACTGGAATTTCTGCTCAAGGCGTTAAAGATGACTCTGCCTTTTATCAGCGTCTTCACCTGGCACGACATTGTCGTCCGCATATTCCAAGTGAATCAGATGACCTCTGGGGAGTAGGTCAATCTCTGTGAAGTCAGACGTATCTAAAGCTTTGTTCATTAGTACGTCTATGATGATGTTAAATAGGAACGGTGACAGTGGATATCCCTTCTGGACACTTAGTTGTCGTGGTTTCAGATGACAACTCTTCATAATCTCTGACACAGTTTGTGAGAGTCCAAACAGAGAGCTTTGATAAGCATTATACACTTGCTCGATATTCCTTCACAGTCAAATACTGCCACAACAGTTCAGAGTCGAATGCCGCCTTCAGGTCAAGAAATGTGGTAATTGTCGGTCGCTGGTAAGTATGCCAGTGTTGTTGGAGGGTGAAAATATGATCGATGTACCCTTATCCAGGTCTGAAACTTGCCTGCTGCTTAGGAACCACAGTTAGGCGTAGGATGACAATGGACCTCAGGGTATTTGAAGGCAGAATATTATCAACTTTTGCCTATTAGTAACAAAATAATGCAAATTTGTGATCAAGAGCTCAAGTAAAGAAAGAAGTTGAAAGCGGTTGCATGCTTATAAATTCAACGTGTTGGCACCGCATAATTTTTTTGTTGACAAAGTTTAGCGATAAGAGAGCACTTTCTGTAAACCAAAACTAACCTACACCTATTGTGCGGCTCAAAAATACTTTGCTACCATAAAGCTTAAATAGGCACATTTCTAGTGTATGTCCAGGACTCATTGGTTTTCACGATGAAAAGATTTCTTAAGTATACTACATAAGAATACCTATCAAGCCAATTAGTGGCCCAAATACAATCTTTTTCAATGGTCATCAAAACGTAGCTCGTGTAACTATCAAATACCACATACTCAGCAATGACCGAAGTTTACTATGTGATCAGTGAATTCCATACAATATATTGAGGTTAAATATATTTGTGTTAGAGATACTGGGAGTGAATCGAGACAATGCTCTGCAACTCGGTTTTGCGCTGGCCGATATTCATCAGCAAGGCATACCCATAGCCTTGAGGAAACTGGTGTTCCCTAGGTGAGTCGAGATGACGTGATTCTAAGTAGAAGCTAGTGGCTTTACCACTAAGACATTTGGGTCTCAGCTGATCCCTTGTGGCAATGGATTCAATCTACACCATTTAGCTGCGTTACCAAGATAACGAAGCATTAACGACAGACAAGATTGTAGTTATTCTTTACTATCTCAAAAAGGGAAAATTATGCAGTATTCAACAACGATAACAATCATAGTAATGCAAAACCATAAAATCCCAACTGACCTCGAATAAGGCTTGACCCTTTGCAGGATAGCTGGGGTTTACTTCTTCTTTCCAGGATAGAAAAACATCTTCACATACAAGTTCGCAGTCATAGAGATTCATAAAGCATCGAAACAGAAAACCTATAATTAAAGAAATGAAATATAAACAAGTTATTTGATGGGATAAATATAGAAGTGGAGGGAAATAGATACTTTTGGAAGGCGTAAAAATATTTCCAACAGTTATTACTTTGAAGCGTTAACATGGTATCAAGAAATTTTTCTAACTGATGTAACGAGAAGCAGTGAACTCAGCAACTACATACAGTTTCCTTCACTAGATTGAGTCACAACTGTGTAAGGCTTCAGGTTAGTGGTACTATGTGATTGTCTAAGTACACTAGTAAAACATGTGGACTACGTAGAATATAATCATATTCTTGTTGATTCATTTGACGCACCACAAAGTGAAACTGTATTATTTGCTAGATGGTGCTACGGAAACAACTTACTGTCAACAGTCATATCAAAGAAATGTCACTTTGACACAAGGTTCTTACAGTTCTACTTCTTTCTCCTTCTTTGTGATACAGGCAATAGACTTTCCCATTTATAAGGAACAAGGGTGCTGAGTTATTCCTGTCGCCTGTATTTGGTGTTTATCTGATAAACAACGATACGGTCAACTTCTCTCTCCTCGGCAAGTGAAGTATGGTTTGAACCCATGACTGAGCACTGACTAGCACTAAGGAAAACGATCACGGGCAATTAGTGTCAGTACATAAATAAGGACAAAAACATTAACGGATAATACAGCTACTCCACTTAAAACATTCTAGATTCAGCTATTTTTCTTAATCAAACAATATGATCTCTGAAACGACATCAAATGTCGTATCTAGGTACATCTTCAGCAATAAACATTTAGAATATAGAAGCGAAACAGTACATGACATTTGCATACCAAGGACAGATTAAAAATTATCCACGAAACAATGAAAGTTTCCTTGTCTTTTTAAATAACATTAACGTAGTCATCTTAGTGTTATTAAATTGTCTATCCATCTAGGAAACTAAGAAATTGTCACTAGTATCAAACATAACTCTGTTAAAGAAGCACTGATCAGTACACTAACCTTTAGGCATGCTTTTATCGACCCAGAATATCTGTAGATCATGCAGAGCGTCCAGCTGGCGATCAACCGAATTCCGTAAAGTGTCAGCCAGCAAATATGGTACAATGGATTTCCATGCAGCTCGTTCTCTTGTCATTAAAGTCGAAGGTGAAGATGAAACGCCAAGTTCAACAATTCCAACTTTGTAAATATATTCATAAATTACAGGTAAACAAGCGTGAGCGTAGTCCGATTTTGTGATACTGACAGCCAAAGGATGCTTTGATAGGTAATCGTTAAGCCTGGAGGCAACAATTTTATCACAGTCTTCGGGATTTTTACCCTCCAAGTATGAATTATCCATAATTAGATGAGACAGTTTAGTGGACAAACGTAAGCTTGGAACAAGAAAATCTAAATCGCGCTCTTCCAGCAATGCTAGCAATGATTCATTTGTACGACTGCCCTCTATTTCAAAAACAATTCAAGTACAGTAATAACACTCTTGATGGAGATTAATATTATGCAGTTTTTAAAAACAAGAATAAGCATATCCGTTAGTCTTATAGCACCAATGAGACCTTAAATTACCACGTACCGGATCACGTTGTAACACCTCACATGCGACACTCCGAGGCGACAAAAAAACTTAGTTAAATAAGCACTCACACCTATCAACAGTTCACACAAATGCAACGGTACATACTTTAGCACTGTGGTCGTCTAATTTTATGCTAGATATCCAACGTAACATAACTTCCTAAGATAAACTTCAAAATGCCCACAACTCAAATTTTTAATAAAACTAAGTACTAAGAATAACGAGCTGTTCAAACACAAGCAAATGCGAAGCTGAGATCCAGCGGTAACATGTATGCGCATTTCTCACAATAAAATTACAAAAGTCAACAACTAATATGCTACGAATTACACTTATCGTTTAACGACTGCTGATGCCATCTGGTTCCAAAAGCCTTAACTTGATATATAAACACTTACTGAATGATTCGAACCTGAATCCCACTACTTGTCAATAGCAAGTGGTATTGGATTAAAAGATGGATATATTTCAAATATCAACCATAAAAAAGGGAACCCATTATTCCGATAAACGGTAGATTACAGCAGATATGCAATTCGAAGTGGGAATACTAGGCTCAAAAAAAGCGAACAAACCTGGTACCATTTGATTCATTTGTAACCCAGTCTCTTGAAATAACTGAATAAGTGAAGAGCGTCTATCATCCGAAGTCGCACCAGCTATACAAACCGCCTCGTTCTTATTCAACTTAAAATCGCCATTGACCATTTGCGATAACTTCTGAAGGACAAGTAAAAACAAAGGATGATGTTTCCCCCCGCGCAAAGGTTCTGCGAATTCGGATAGACTGATATGACAATTCCAAATTAAAGCAGCTGATATTAGAGCGATTTTAGATTTGGAATAGATTAACTGCGTAACGCACAAAATCTTTTGAAGAAGGTGTGACCAAACAAGAGCTAGAGGATGGCCGAACGACTTCATTGATTTAGGCTTCCGACTATCTTTGGAATTGAATGCTGACACAGAACCATCTCGACACAACAGGTTTTCTGAGCATATAACAAGTAATTCCGCTAGTTCAGACGGTTCTGCTTCTGCCAACTTAAGGTTGGTACCTATAAACATGGAAATAATTTCACTTTTTTAGAGCATTATCACAAAGAACATGAAAGCGAAAATTCAGCGAAAAATGTAGTTTTTTCGGATACCAACTAGTGAGAGTAAGATTGCAACAACCTAGAAACACAATAATTGCATTGTTTATATTAGGAACGACAAACGTGTTACAGTACTACAGTATAACTAGCTTTTTTGCTTCATCAGTTTAATAATGCCAATAGCAAAGCAATTTGTGTGTGTGATAATGATAATGATGTGCAGATATTAACCTGTGATCAGTGAATGTGACCATTTAAACACTTGTACAGCCTACTTAACCTCTGAGTAATAATGTAATGATAGTTCTTCGAAATGACAAGTTATTCTAGTGAAAACAGACGTTTCAAGTATCCTACCATCGCTATCTGATAAAAACATTCTCCTCTTAACCTTTGAAATGAAAGCTATAAACAAGTACACATTGCTGTTTTTGAAATACTTCCACGTACGCAGCTGGAAATTATCGACCGATACCGATAGTTGCTGTCAATAAAACACTTAGCTAAGCCTTTGTACCACCTTTTATTACTATATGTTCCCCCAATGTTCTAATACAGTTTGAAAGCTGTGGAGACCACGTAAACAACACATCACCTGCAGAAACTCAGAAATGTTCAATATGACACTTTAGCACTTTCTCATATTCCACCTTCTCACGTATCCTGCTCCCTGAAGAATATGCTATCACTTCTCTTCAAAAATACGTTTCTTGTTAGGTTTTGAGTAAACGTAGAGTGACGCTTGTGCAGATAAAAAAATCGGTGACGGCTCATTAACCGAGATTTATTCGGCAGCATAGGTGGTTTAGTCAGTGTGTATGAAGAGAATGACGACGGATTTTGCTGAACTGGTTCAGCACCAGACCATATTAAGTGACCAATCGTGCCGAAATTCGCTTATGCAATAGGTAACGAACCACATCTACTGTGAGAGGGCAAATGATACTAGCAGGCGGCGCAACCTTCGATAGTTGGAGCTGAGTATGATACCTATGAACTGTCGATTGGAATTCAAGTACCTAGATCAGTGAAACATGACTCCGCAAGTAGCTAGTGCAGATTTTATCGACATTTTTGAAGTTTTTTGATCAATAACAAGTACTTATGTTTGTAGCGAATGTCGCCGATAAAAATGTCTCGACAAAAAAGATAACTTTAAAAGTTTTCTTGACAAACAGGCTTAAACTTAAACAGTGATGTCCACGCAAAAATAGATGCAAAATCAATACAAATAAGAGACCGCTAGGTATCAAAAACTGCGGAAAGTATGGACAGTTTCAAGGTGAATTTTGTTTGACAGCTGTCAAAAGATGCAAGACTGCCAAAGTGAGCTGGGTTACAATGAAGGAATCCACATAGCAAATGGACTTGTTTACTTCTGTTCTCATACAATACACACACTACTGTGCTAACGCTAGTGCAGTTATGTCCTTTTTTTACTACCTTTTGACAGTTGATAATTATTAGCACTATGGTGTATTAACAGTAATTCACATTCCAGTTGAAAAGTGAATTGCAAGTATTTGATACTCGGTGTACGCACGATCATCGTAACAAATACAATTACGAATGGGTATTAACAGGAATTATACGAGGATAACACTAAGGACGCTTAATGATCAGAATCAGTGTATTAGGTTTCAGATAATAAGTCTGATGAGTTGGAGTTACTAATTTAACAGTCTTACCTTCTTCGCACAAATGCAATACCACAACAGCAAGCACCTCGATAGTTATTCGACCGACATTTGATACATTCAATCGGTTTTTAACGGATACAGGATCTCGTACATCACATAATAAGTCGAGCTGGAAGGTACGGAAAATAAAATGCAAATGAAAAATCGTTCTATTCTACGCACTATCATTACATATTTATGCTTACCTACAGCTGCCGTACTGGTTTAGGTGTTAGGGTCATCTATGGTGACGACTCAGTCAGGCTATCTTACTATAGTTAGTTTTACAGGCTTGAATAGAAAGTCCCAAGGCCAACAAGTAAACTTTCTGAAACGACTACTATGCCTATAGATTCGCATAAAACTGACTAGTATCGGTCAGTTAACAAGCCAATAATGAGACCACGATCTATTATCAATTTGCTGCGACCTTCATAGTTCACAACCACAACTTCTAACTACCTATGGCATCGTTTATCAAATTTCAGACTGCAGAGAAGTTAGATTTACTCAAACGTTTTCGAAGACTACAATAGAGAAAAGTTCATTACATAAAAACTGTAGACTTATGTTTTGTACATGTTACTATTCATCAACAAAGTGAATGCGCATCACTGAAATTCACGTTTCCAAGGAAATCCGGACTTCAGTTAGAGTCCCGACATCAGATACATCACCAATAAGGTTTTCCAGTAAAAAAAAACATCCCAGTGAAAAAGTGCATCATGAGTAAGAATTTTTCAGGTTAGTAACCGACGTATGTATCCAGTTCTTAGTGCTCATATATTGTTGGAATGAAGCCATACAGAAATGTCAGACAGTGAAACAGTATTATTTACTGATAACGTTACGGGCATAATTTATTGTCCACATGCATATCAGGTTACCTGATATGAATATGAACAATAAATTATTTCCGGAACGCTACCCAGCAAATACTGTGAGATTTCTAAAACAGACCAAAATGGAATTACAATCTACCAGTGCCCAAGTTCTACTTCTATATTAAGCTACATAGATATGCGACACGACACCGCTATGTATCTCGTTGGTAATTGAGAACCAAGCAATAGATATCCACTGATTGGGAAGCAAGTACACAAGTGCAACAAAGTGATTACTAAGACATTTAGCAACTAGATAAGGACTTACTAACTTAGCAGCTATTCTTTTACTTTCATCAGAAGCGTGAGGTATGCAATGACTTTCACTGGCATGATTCGATGATTGAACTGAATTGCTTAAATCAGACGATCGGACTTGTTCAGTCTTACGATTACATGATTTATTTACTGCCAATGACTGGACATCCGGAAAACTTGGTTTGTTTAAAGATGATATCAATGATTGTGACTTGGGAGAAACGTCAGACTGTGAAGTACCGTGCATTGAGTTGGAGCTGAATTTCGGGAAGGTAGCCCAAACTAGTTTTTGAGTGTTGCTGTTTTCATCATTGGTAACCATCGATTTATTCTTTTGTAGGTAAGCAGGCTTTCAAAAATGAAGTTAGAAAGTAAACATTCAAGATGTGCACGACAATGTACAGGAAAATTTCATTCATCATGTCATAGTCTACCTGCTTCACTAAATGTGAAGCATATCTTGGAGGTTATCATGCGTAAAATGTTCTAAATCACAGCAAAGCTCTGAAGGTATTCACACTTAATCCTCCGACATATAGAGGTAAACATGAGAAAAAACGTAGTGGTGAAACTAACCAATAAACTAAGAATTTATGTCGGAACCACCAGTCATAAAAACTATTTTAACTCTGATTTTAGGTATGACTATAGTGATTTTCTAGCCTCGATAACTTGAAAAGTTATAACTTAGTAAAGATGAACTGATATTTTAACCTCCAACACTAAAAATCGTTTCAGAATCCAGACAGCCTAGGTGTCAAGACAAAGCATATAATATGTGCACAGATAAGGACAGACATCACAGAGAAAACATTCAATGATTCATGCCGGTGTTTTCAAATTGATAAATCTAAGCAGTAAATAAGTGTTAGTGCTGTTCGTAATTCTCTTAGTTGTTTCACTTTACATCCCTTCATGAGGATCCTATCCACCCTGGCCCTTGTAAACCTCAGAATGATCACAAATTGGTCTAACATGAATGAATTGTTTAGCATACACATCATACTTTATGAACTTCAGTAGAGTAGGAAATTAGTTGCTTTGATTAATTTTCTATAGCTTTAGTATAACATACGAATTCCATAAAAATCTGGTGCACTAGGCACTATGAGCTACATATGTGAAGGTTGACGATAGCATTTTGCTGTCCAACACCAAATAACTAGTGCGGAACCGCTACCCTTTAACCGGAAGTTGTATATTTTCAAACCCAGCCAACTTTACACAAACTTAACAAATTATTCAAGTGCAGTGATGGCATTGAAAAATATGCCGGTCGAGAACACCTGAGAAACACTTACTATCATTCTGTTATCAACAAGGTAACAGGTTATTACCATGTAAGTCAGTAAGTGAAAGGAAAAGTACTCAGAACTTAAACCTGGTTGTGAAAAAATTTTAGTCATATATTTCGACCACAAAACTTACCGTGGTGATACACCAGTAACCGCTATCTGTAATGGCATTAAATTAAAGCATCTAGCATCGCTGATTTCTAATCATATTTTTACTCTTGAACGCCTTCATCACAATTCAACACAAAACAATGAAAGCACGTACACCAGAAAAGGATTACTAGAGTCAGTAAGTCTTTCAAGAAGGGTTTAGGGACTATTATCGACACTGCTGAACGATTTTTACAATCAAACTAAAATAAGAATTCTTCGAGTGCTAGAGACTGTCTTGACTCTAAAGAACCACAGCAACTACGAGAGAAAATAAGAAATCTATTGACTTGCCACTAGTTAATTAGCTGATCATTCCCTAAGCAAAAGTTAGAACTTAATTATCCTAACTTCGTCAAGATTCTGCTGTCATTTCAGTTACTATCTCGGCTTCGATTCTTGATTTTTGGTGTTATTAGGTTACATACAAGCAGTCTGTGGACTAGCGTTTGTGTCATGCAGTCCAGTAATAAAAGTCATTGCTCAAGCAGTGAACCAGCCGTAAGATGAGTCAAAGTACCAATCCGACGACCCACTTTAGTGTTCAGTTGGTTAGGTGGGAAGCTGTAGCTCACTGGTTAGGGCAGTCGATGGGTTCAAACACCGCTATACCTACCGACGCTCGAGCAGCCAGGTAGCGTGGTTGACCCTCACATAACAGGTGTGGCAAATCGCCTACTGCACAAGGTTGGTTAAGAGCACTTCCTTTTTTTTCGACTTGTTGACTAAATAGTATCAACATTACAGCACATTTCCACAAACTCACAATCAACGGTTAGTACAGAAACACTCATGGTTAGGCACTGCAGTTCGAAAAATAAAGCGATTGCTTTGAACTTACCTCAAAAAGATCTGTAGAATGGGACTGGCCAAGGGAATGAATAAAAGGAGTAATGTAAGATGGACTGTTCCTTGAAATTGATGTAGGATTATCAGAGTTGGACTTTGTGTGGTGATTATAAGCTTCTGAATGTGCAGGTTGCTTTGCTTCGTTGCATACATTCAGGGTAGAACTAGCTGGCGAACTACCAGCGGCTTCCGCAGCTAGTTTCCTGAGCATTCGAGGAGGTAAATTGGTATTGGCTGTTGATACACTATTACCTGGTGTGACTGAAGAATTGCGCAGGCGTGCGTTGACACCACGAACCCAACCTGTGTCGCTAGCTTCAGTTTTCTCCACTTTAGTAGCCCAAGTATCATTAGTTGTTTTCATGCGAAGAACATTGCTGGAATTAGGTACATCACTTTTGTTAGAAAAGAAGCGCCTTGTACCCGGGACATGATTACTTTGGGGGCGTCCATGAAAATGATTAACCGCATTGTCGCCCGAACGACTCCCGTTATCTAAAAAGCAGAGGTCGTGAGAACTTTGGCGACAAAGTTCTTCACCCATTCGCGCCAGCTCCAGCCAACTTTTTGCCTCACCACTATTTCTTGAAGAATTGCAGTTTAAACCGCTGACGAAAGGTAATTCATTATTTACTGATGAGTTACTTGACGTCGATGAGTGACCCATGAACGCACTCCCAGGTACATCGGGTTGTGTAATGGAACGTTCACTAGGAGTTGGAGCAACAAGAATTCCAGACTCCTACAGGACACAGAAACAAAACTCGATGAGAAAAAGAAAATTACAAGTGGCTTTATCTAAATAGTAATTATTTAGTTCAACTGATCACATGGGAAACCGATGCACTTAATACCATCTAGACACACACACCATTGTAATTTTTCAGTACCGAAATAACACGATGAAAGATAAACGATGAAATGCAATCAGAAGTACTGAATTTGAAAGAGGAATAAGAACTAGTTTAAGAGGCACCAATAGTTTTCGAATAATAACCACAATGCTGGCGGAAAGATTACGACCTCTGCTTCAAAGAACGCATAAATAAATGTTGTAAGTGCTTAACCCAAGCGTTTCTGCTCCTTCTCACAATCTCTTGCTTTATAGTCATCCACTTGAGATACACTATCTCATATGGCGTCCACCAACATCAAACCAAAGATGAACACAACCAGATCATATGGGTATAAGCCATTATTGGAGGATTACCACTCTGTCCGGATTACCACTTTCGACTCCGACTACACGCTAGTACGGGCTTGTTTCTCAACGCCTCACCGGTCGCAAAGAACAAACGATAGTAAGGCCTCTCTGTCCTCTACTGGAAGACAAGAACGCCAAATACATATTCTACAAAGGAGTCAACTAAACATTTATCTGAACACAACACCAATGCTCATCCTGAGGAAACCTGGTCTCATGTTAACTCAGTGGTAAAAACAGTAGTGAACACAGGCGGTAACCGATACCTGAAGGTTGGTAAACATCACTGGATTGCCAAAACACTATCTGAACTGATTGGTGCAAGAAGACTGATTCCAGATGGCGACAAAAAGTGAAGGAAACTTAAACATAACTTGACCAGGAGTCTTCGCATCGACATCGAGAAGGAGGGAGTGATGAAAGTGAGATAAAGAACGCATCAACGCAGGGTAGCATTAGACAATTATTGAAGCTAATTAGGCATACCGATCTGAAGAAGACAATGGTGAGTGAAACCATCAATGAGAAGGATGGGATGCCGATAACCTCTCAGGATAGGATGCTAGAACGTTGAGGATAGAACCCAGCACAGCTCAACTGGCTATCAGCAACGCGTCAGTGGCCCAACAACCATCCTGAACCTGAGTGGGACGCACATGTCGGTCCGCCTAACCTCCTTGAAGTTGTCAATACTGTATCGAACCTCAGACGGTGCAAAGCAGTAGGATCTAACAGTTTGCCACCCAACGTGTTCAAGAACGGAGGTAGGAAATTGCCAATTACAGTGAAGGACGTACTAGGTTACGAGCATACGGGAACCAGAGGCAATGCCGTCAGACTGACATTCCAAATCAATAAGAGTAGAAATCTTGTGACAACCTTAGAGGAATTAGTTTGACTAATATTGTGCCCTAACCTCGCCAGGTTAACTAGTTCACTAGTTACTAGCTGGTCCTAAGCCCGGATAAAGATGGAAGGTTGGGCATAGGGTAACCTAGCAACCCTAAACCGTAAAACCTATCCAATCGCTAAACAAACTTAAAAGCACAAAGAAATAATAAAAAAACTAAAAAAAAACTTATTTCTCGCTGGAATCGGAGAGAAGAAATGACACCAGTTGCTGAAAGTCTTCGGGAAGCCGATTGGCCAACGTGTCTTCTCTCGACGAAAGCGAAAGTAGGGATGAGGACATGGAATATCCGCACCATGTATGAACCTAGCAAGGTTGCCTAGATTGCAAAAGAGATGAGAAGGTATAGCATGGAAGTGCTTGGAATCTGTGAAAGCAGATGGAATGGAAGTCGACTCTCCAAACTGTCAACTAGAGTCAATTATCTATTCCGATATTGTCAACCTGATAACAATCACGAGCACAATGGGTTCTGCAGTGGCTATCATGATGTTTGCTCCCAAGAGCATCGAAGGCTCTCTCTCATCCAGTGGGAACCAATCTCCTCCAGGATCAGGATCACGACACCAAGATGGATTCAACTCGAAAGGAAGGAAAGTCACAATCACACAATGCTACGCTAAGCACATACAAATAATGCAGATCAAGAGAAAGACGAATTCTACAGACAACTGTAATCAGTACTAGACAAGACTACACCCCACATGGTGACATCAAACGTCTAATGAATGACAGGAATGCCAAACTGGGAGCCGATAACACAAGAAGAGAACTCATCATGGATTGAGAACTGCTCGGTGAAATGAATGAGAATGGAGAACTGTTTGCAGATTCCTGAGCATTGAACGATTTGGTGATTGGAGGCAGTGTGTACAAGCACAAGGACATTCACAAAGCGATACGGACTTGATGTCACCAGATGGACACACTGAGGATCAGATCGACTTCACCTCAAACTCAAGAAAGTACAGACGCAGCCTACTTAACATAAAATCAAGAAGAGGAGCAGATATATAGGTGCAGACCAAAATCTAGTGCAAGGAACCTTCAAAATCAAGTTGAAAGCCTTCAAAGAAGTTGATAACAGACCACCGTTCAAGTTCAACACCCAGAACACAAACTGAAGGACAAAACTACAAAAGACATCTTCACGTCAGCCATCAGAACAAAATGGGAGACATTGAGCAACATCCTTTAAGGGACCTGCGTGGAAGAATACTAGAACTCTTTGAAAGAGATGTGGAGAGAAACCTGCATAACCGTATTAGGAAGGAAGAGGAAAGAAGATAAGGAATGGATCTCGGCGGATACACGCAGGCTGATAGAGGAGGGAGAGGAAGATGGTGAAGCAGAAGATGAACCAGTGCAGTGCAAGGATGAACGAGAAGAGGAACTAAGTACAACGTATAAAACACTGGACAAATAAGTGAAGAATGTGCGCAAAGGCAAAAGACACTTCTACGACACATTGACAAGTGAAGCAGAACAGGCTGCCAGTAGATGAGACAGACACCTGACAACAATATATCATATAACCAGGTTACTATCTGGGAGAGAAGAGATCAACCTAGATGAAGCAATGAGAGATAGTGAAGGAAACCTAGTTAGCAAAGAGGAGAAACAAAGGAAACGATGAGGTGACCACTTCAAAATAATCTTGAATCGACCACCACCACCTTCTGCAACTCGTTCAGAAATACCACCAGCAACGGCAGAACTACTAGTGAACTCAGGGCCCTCCGACAAAAGCAGAAGTCCAGAACTCTATGAAACTGCTGAAATCAAAAAAAGCAACAGGGCCAGATGGGATTCCGCCAGAAGCACTGAAGACAGACGCAGAAACAACAGCAGCGGACATGCTCACACCACTATTGCAGAAGGTTTGCAAAGAAGGAAGGAAAAGTACATATCCATTGATAGGAAGAAGGGCTGCCTTGTCAAAATCGCAAAGAACGGAGACATAAGCCTTTGCAAGGACCGGCGCGGAATCATACTCTTGTCCCTGTCACCCCAAGCAAAATATTACGCCGCATCATCCTCGAGAGACTAAAGCATGCGCCGGATTCAAAACCACTACCGGAACAGGCCGGCTGGCTTCAGGAAGAACAAGTCATGTGCGGGTGAAAGTGCAACGCTACGCATCATCATTGAACAGAGCATAGAAGGCAGTCAACTCTTTACCTAACCTCAACTTCATCGGCTTTGAAAAGGCCTTCGACAGAGTCGATCGAGAAGTCATTTGGTAGTTGTTTCAACGCCACGAAGTGCCACTAATCTTTATCAACCTCATTCAACAACTATATGAAGACGCCACATGCTGGCCAAGTAATTCACAATGGGAAGCTTAGTGATGCTTTTGAAGTGAAGACAGGAGTAAAACAAGGCTGCCGCCTACCATCACCCATAATATTCCTGATGGTGGTCAACTGGATCATGCAGCAAACCGTCAGGAGTGACAGGATGGAAATACGCTGGCTGGACCGATGAAAAGACTCTAGAAGAGTTGGATTTCGCCGATGATGATTTGTCTAGTGTCTCATGGAACGAACCCGAAGACCTACACGCGAAAACTAACAAGTTGACAGAAGCGGCAGGCAGAGAAGACGGGACTTCAAATGAATATAGAGAAGACTGAGGTGATGAAGATACCCAACTAACAACAAGCACCAATCACCATCAACGGCGGAAACCTAAAGGAAACAGTCTCTCACCTACCTGCCTAGACACCATCGCTTCAACTACAGGAGGTGGCGACACAGATGACGACGTCAAAGCGAGGATCGGAAAGACAGCAAGACAGGCCTTCATTAGTCTGGAACCAGTGAGGAGATCTACTGTATCCAGCATTAAGTGTGGACAAGATCCGGACCTTCAACGCTAACGTCAATCAAGTCAGTGCTTGTATGTGATGGTTGAAAGACTTGGCGTGTTACGAAAACCATTTCCAACAAACTACAGACATTAACAGTTGTCGCCTACGGTCACTCCATACTGAAGATCAGATGGCCAGAATAATAAGAATAAGCAACAAGGAACTCTGGCCAGCTGGCAACGAACCAACCAAGAACCTACCGCTGAACAAATATGCAGAAGGAAGTGGAGATGGATTGGGTATACACTGAGAAGGCCGACTGGGGACATCACGCGTCAGGCCGGTCGCTCTAGTGGAACCCGGATGGGAAACGACGAGTTGGGCGTCCGAGGCGAGGGTGACATTTAGGAGATCATGCGGGGAATAAATGAAAGCTTGTGGGCAGTCGTGGCGACAGGTTGAAAAGACTGTAGAGAAGAGAGTGCAATGGAAGCGTACTACTGAAGCCCTATGTCCCACTGGGAACCTAAGGGACAAATAATAATAATTCCTTCTATACTACTGTGTGGCAACTTGGGTGGATGTGCCTGCGTGCGATGTCATACATTGATTGTCCGTCAGTCATTTAGTCATAACCTAGTAAACAGAAAACGTTTCGGTTATTTTGGAGAAAATGTCAATTAAAAAGGACAAAAGCATGAGACATAAAAATTCACCTTGAGTATCTCCAAGCGAATATCTCGAAGGAAACGTGGTTTGTTTGTTTCCGTGCGCTGGCCAGCACGACGTGGAACCCAATTATTTTCTCTTAGATCTACCAAATCTTCAATCATAAATCGAACTCTGGCTGATAAGGTGTTATTAAATTTCGTTGCCTTTGGGCATACCTTCCCCCCGGCAGCACTATTTTCGTGTTTCTTGGAGTCTACTCCACTTGAATCGCAAGCGCGTGACAATATACGACGCAGGCGTTGAAAATATTGATCCATCAAGTTCTTTGCTTTTGGTGTGTCCATATGTTTCCCAACAGTAGTCAAGAATTGACAGAGACACTCCAAGTCAATTGACAAAGACCTCTCTTTGTTAGTGCTGGCTGCAAAAAGATGGTAAATTCAAGTTTGAATGGCTAACTGTAGCTCTGCAAATTAGTAAGCAGATTTATTAACCCGGTTATCATCTACTTCTGAGGGTTATTGAGGTTTAAGTAAATGGAGAGCAACTTGACTCCCTAACCCAGCTTGATTGGCAGTCGGAAGAACAACCGGACGAGCCACAGTAACAAAAGAATACTTGAAAATAAAATTGGAATGACAACTGTAAAGGTACAACGATGGTGGAAAAGTGAAACTGCGTGCGCGATGCATTCCTTGGTTGAATGCAGATCAGTCAAGTGAAACGTAAACGTGATATTCAGTGACTGGTTAGAGTGGCTAAAATTAAGTTCTTATCATGTCTTGCTTTCAAAATGAGAATACTCATTCAGGTGAATGAGGTGTATAAAATAAGACTTTTTTTGAATTTCAGACATTAACATTTCAATTGGGGCTTATTTGTTGAGAGCGAAGTTGTTGAGATGCATTCCATTTCTTGAACTGGACTATAATGAGCAAATTGCTGGTGAGTCTGAATGAATTGAATTATTGTCAGACTTCTTGCATAAAACACTCCTGAACAAAATAAGCGGTCTCAACAAACAGCATTAGGATGCACCCTGAGCATTCTCCTATTCAGTTCTTTAGTTTGATAACTGCTAAATTGAAGTGCGATGTACGAAGTTCAGCAGCACGATACAATCGCATACCACCACACCAGAATACCCACAACCACAGCTTCATTCTCTACCGCAATTTGAAGCCAGTTAGATTTAGAAGGGGTTTTCATTCCTATTTTCAGTAAGTGAAACGCATCAGGTTCTTTGTGTCCCAACGCAACTCTTCAGATATTAAGATGCTTACAAAGATCCAGTAAGACCAATCGTAGGCCATGGTGCCATAAATAACCTATTTCCCTCTCAGGAAATACCAGTTTCCAAGGTGTGGATAGATCTGTGGCATCAACCACCCAGACACCTCCCTTCAACAAAAAAATCCACCTGATAACCAACTCTTATCATTTTCATTCCCCAACTGTCTCCAATGACTCTTCTCATTATCAACATGCTTTCTAGAGTTCCCCAAACTTTTTACTGAGATTACGGCTAGCAATGGATCCATAGAGTAACGGCCCAAGTCGTCATAACTTGATGTTAGAGCTTTCAAAATTTAAACCCAAAGCCATATATATATGGGTACCGATGTATCATTCAATAACTAGTAGCTGTGGATCTCATGGTCTAGCAATGATCTGACTGCCTAGAGGTTAAACGCATTAGTTCGGCTAGATGCCAGCTGAGACTTACATGCTGTTCAGATGAATACGTCTGTGAAAGCTCCGAAGGACAGTGACGCACACCGACGTCGACTGTTACTTTCTACCACCTACACACTACATATCATCTAGCTTAGCAGTGTAATACAGAAAAAGTGAACACACTAAGCTAATTAAAAGCAAACGTTACCAGAAACGAAAAGCTGCATCCAAATTAAATGCTGTAAGAAGTCTAATTCCATTTGACTCTGAACACCTAGGAAAGTAGCTCAAGCATAGTGTGAAAGTCCTCGTGTTCACTGTGAACAGTGGTGGGTACGAAAGCCAAAGATTTTGAAAAGGAGTCGGTGTTGAGTAATCAAGGCTGTTATTTAGACTTATCTGAGAAACGGATCAGAAAAAGACCACAGTTATTAATTAGGATTATCACCTAGCGACGACCGGTAACTGTTACCTTGCCGTAGTAACCAGGCCTGCATAGCAAAATGAACCAACTAGCTACACTGGCCGTTTTCATTGTACTCCGAGGTCCCACTTTATTAGAAAGGTCTGTTGGACGGTAATAAGATGAAAAGTAGTTACTGTTAAAGAGTTAACTGAGTTCTGAATGGGATCCAAGGGTTGGATCAAGCAGGAATGACTGCAAAAAGTGGTTCCCGTGGACGATCCGTGGTACCATACCGATGCCGGAAGGGGTGGTGAGCTAGAAAAGTTTGGCTTTAAAAACAGCATACCCCCTTGCACGGCGGTAAGGACTCACAGTTTGATTCGAGAAAGAAAAAACCTATAAGGCCGCATGCCACCGGTCTCAAATAAGTATCCCTTGGGTAGTGCAGCCGTGCATTAACCGCTGATTATCTGGTACGTCACGGTGATATTACCCCACATGGCGCTGGAAACCTGGAAGTCAACCGCCCTTACAACTCTCAGCAACCGTTCCCTTACCATATATTGCAATACCGGTGGGTTTTTAATTGACTCTCACGGCATGTGACTAGGACCTCAATAAAACCACAGGAGCAGTGCAACTGGCTTAAAGGTGTTTCAGCGGCTCATCACTCAGTTTCTCAACAAGAATTACTGAGGCACAAATCAATATGAAGCAGCTCAATCTGGTACACGTCTATGCATGACGCTATGAACTGATTTTGGTGTGAAGCTCATAAAACATGTACATGTAGAATGATCTTAACGCTGCCTGAAATCGAGACAGCTGCTTCAAATTGAAAGCGCCAACTTGCTGACAGGAATCACGGTCTACTGGTTTTAAAAGGTGAGGTATTAGTTATAATATGAGAACAAAAGGCAGCTTCATTAGAATGATTGCAATTAAACCAGTTACTAAAGCAGGTAGCGTACGAATGTGCCCAAAACTCAAGGTCCATAATCATCCAACCCGAATGAAGTTCGGAAACGATTAATCGAGAGAAACTGAGTTATGGATCATTAGCTTCGGTAGTTAAATTTCAACCAGAGGAATACGAGTTTGAAGCCTGCCTCACATACAGAGGTCTGTATAGCCAGTATCACTAGTTCACACGCTCTCCCTGCCCACGACATAGGCGAGCAACGGGTTGCTGAGTCCGTTTTCTATGTTCAGTCCTTCACTAGATTTTAGATGGACAAAGTATATCTAATAACCTTAAGGCAATACCCGACCCTATTAATCGATTATTGTATCGGTGGTAACCGTACGAAGTAGATGCAAATCAAAGATAATTTGCTTATCAAGGCTTTTCGCACAAATTAATGCAGTTTACTGTGTTTGCAAGGAGTGATATACTGGTCTGTTATAAATATCTAATCTTATCCTTGCTTTTAAACTCAGACCAAATGGTACATGAGACTCGGCTTAACTTCCATATAAAGTTGGCAGGCTGACATCAGAACATCTGGTTGTTCTGGAATACACATGAATACCCCTCTACAGCAAAGACCACAACGAAATGCAGTTTTGAACAAAACTGAGCGTTCTTAGTGTGCCTCTAGCACCTGTTAAGTGTACGATGATACTCCAATAACTAATGGGTATTGATTCCCATTTCCAGGTTGCTACCTGCGTCATTCCACATGCCCGTCTCAGACAGTTTCTTTGACACCAGAAAGGTTCCAGTTGCCTCTGTACTCATGGTGACGGACAAAAGTGCCAATCAACCAGTTGACTTTATTATCATTGCTGATGTATTGGAAAATATACTATGGAATACTCTATTACAGCATTTGGAGAAGCACGATTATTGGCACAGGAGCGACACGATTTCCCGACGAGACGCTCCCATTAGCTTACTCGTTACCCCTGCCATATTTCTCTTAGAACCTTAACAGATACGAATCCGTCAGCAAAGAGGACAGCTGGCTGCAGTATGCTGGTTTAAGTTATTCCTTCGAAAACACCACGACGACTAGCGAAATAGATAGAAAATCCAAAGTGTGGTGAAACAATATGCAGTGCTACTAAAAATTTGCTAAGTGATGCACGACGGACTTTCCTAAGGTAAGCCGTTTGGACTAATTAAAACCTAGAATATAAGTGGCATAAACTTTCCAACTGCTCTGACTGCTATACATCACCAATTTCGCGCTAGCAAGCCAGAATAAAATGTGCGTACAGACTTTACCGACTCATAATAAAATCCAAAACGCTTTCAGTAACGACATGTATGCTCGCATATTAGACAATGAGCCCACCTTCACTGGGCGGTTTTGTCGGAGTGGCCAGTGGTCAAACCTCCACCAGTAGGAGTCTAAAGTGACAGCTCTCAACATACCTGCCTTATCTTTTTCCTGCGTAGATGTATGTACCTCCGAACCATTGACTGAGCTATGCTGCGCCTTCTTTGATAGTAGTTCCTGAACGCAACCATGTAAGATCTTTTCTGGCATAACTCCGCATATTCCAAGTTCGGCAATAAACCGTAGGTTCCCCAGGCATTTCTGGCGTGAATTTTGGTCATCACAAGCAACGTCTCGAGCTCTGAACTCATCTTCACAACACTTAGTAAGGAAAATCTGGAATGTCTAAGAGAAAAATCAACAATATCACCACACTTACCGATTGAGAACCTCCTACCTCAAAATTTGGAGCGCTACCACATAACTTTAAACACAATTGGGCGTACAAAGAAGTAAATTTGGGTTCATTGATGGCCTTTTGGTAAATCTAAAGCAGATTAAGTGTGGATATACACCTACTAATTGAGCAATGACATATAGTGAGGATGAAGAGATGTCTAAACTCAGTAGCTTTTCTCCTTGTTGTTCAAAGTTTTCAGCGGTAAGTTTATTAAGAATGCTATTTGAAAATTACTCAATCGACTCGACTCACGATAAAACTTCTTTACGAATAGAATCTGTGTGGCTTGATTTTGGAGCCAGCGTGGCGCCAGCGGTCCATTTGGGTGTATGAGGCTCTTGTGATGCGTTTACTTTATTTGGAATAAAAGGACTATCTGAAAACTTGTAAATCCGACCAGCTGTCTCTAAGCTAGCAGTTCTTTCAGCTTTGTCCAGAATGTTGATATTTTAGGGCGTATAACTTCGATCCAATTCACTCCTGAAATGGTGGAAGTTGAGACTAAGATAAAAATGTCACAATACATAATCACCCAAAATCTTTCTCATCAAACATACCAGAAACACTTGCAAACTGACAAGAGAACTGAAACTAAATGGCCATTCCCGCCTGGAGGAGTAGTAGATTTAAACAAACTCAAAACCTTTGGCTTGAGTTTCAAGAAACTGAAAAGAGGTTAGTAATCAAATTCACCTATATTCTCCCTTGATATTTTAAGTGCTGCGAAGACCAATTCCTGCCCGTGAAGAGTGCAGAAACAGCATATTCCTTCAAAGAACCCAACCGATTCACAGTTCAGATTCAGATTTGTAGTTTAAGGATCAAATATTATGAGCTGATATTAACCCTTTTCCAGTTGACCTCTGTTTTTGTCAAGTCCTTTTTTGAACGAAACAGTTGACCCAGACACCCCTTCTCCTGAGGGTCACATCCGAGAGTTGTCTACTCGACAATAAAAACAAGACCCTATGTAGAACACGTTTATCCTTTGTTTTTCCATCCTCCTATCATGTCCCGTGAGGTACCGTGTGGCAATGAAAAGGGAGGAGGGGTTAGATTTAGAGTGATTTTCTAAAACCCCGCGAAACGACCGAATCTTCCTCATCCACAGTGGGATAGCAAGACGCACAGCTCCTTATGTCGCTCTCCAAAGTTTAAGCTAATCGTTGCAGCAACCGTTCAGTTTGCCGCCCTCTGAACTAATTCCAGCTGCTCTGTGGCGGTACCTAATTCCTTAAAAACGGTAGCCTACTGTCCGACGAGATTCAACATTGATGCTTACCTCCATAGCCATATTGGATTCGCCAAGCTGAAGGCAAACAGTCAAGCGTCCATGCTGTCTGGCACGTTGTCATACTGCGTCGCACTTCTCGTAATCTGTCCCCCAGCCAGTCAGTTTGAACGCATTTGTATTTATTTCCTACCTCTCGGATATACTATTCCCGTCTGACCAGGCAATTGCGTCCTTTCTTGGTCTTGCATTCATGTATGCATCACAAGGGTGAATGGTTAGTGGTTAGTCCTTGAGTTTGTCATGTTCGTACAAAGACGATTCCTAAAACCTTACGGAATGCGGTTCACCACCGGCGCACAGTTTTCTAGTTTAAGCCTAAGGATGTGTATGAGGTGGAATGCATATCACCACTTGTTTTTAAACTTTCGGTGTAGTTCCGTAAGTGTCCTAAAACTTCCAAGTGTTATCAGTCACTGGTGCGTAGTGGTTCTCAACTAATTAGTTACTGTCTCTTACATCACTTTAGGTAAACACTGAAGGTGAAGCAGTCCCACCAATATCTCAGGTGCTGCCACCCGTAAGTCCCATGTTCATACTCATACACTAACTTGCATTGACAGACATCTACCATTTCTCTGACTAGGCTAACAAGTTGTTTAGGTTCATCTGAACTGTACATACATCCTCGCAATACCCAATTTCTCGCCGGATACTTACGTCGTCAACGTAGAGAACAGCGAGTGATGTCATGGCACTCAGCAGTTCATTTATATGGAGAAATAACAGAGGACCCAGAACCACCTTATAGAACTGAAGGAACAACTAGCTCTTTTGCCTATGCAAGCAGATTGTCAGGGATTCTGAAACTTCCCAGTTTGGAAAGCAACCTTGAATGAGGTACTGTGTCGAACTCTTTAATGAAGTCTTTACTAATGACATCGGCAGGTATCCTATCATCCCTCGACGACCTAACTTTCTCTAACTTTGAGAAGGTCTATAAAGCAAGAGAAACTTCAACGAAATTTATTTTGCGAATGAAACGAAAGTTGCCTCCTACGTGAACGGCGAGAGCTTTCGTGACTACTCATTCCACGATTTTAATTGTGATGCTGCCCAAGCTTATCCATCCATTTTCGACAGGTATAATCAGAAATCGCCTAGTAGGTAAGTGTAACTATTTGGTCGTTCAAGTCTGTGGAGACGGCATAAAGTTGTGTGTAAACCACTTCAACTTAAAGTAATATTTCCTATTCATCGTTTCTTTTACACATTCTGTACATTCTTCCTAATACTTGTAAAAACGAACGTTGTTTGTATGGACTTTTTGGCTGTGGCGGTAATTAATATATCCGTTTACTGCTTCTAATCGTGGAAATATAATGTGCTTCTGCCCATTCCGACTTCCGCCTCCGTGACCATTACCTGCCTTGCATAATAACTGATTGCCTTGGGATTTTACGGGACTTCTCATCCTACTTCCAAATATTTCGACAATCAAGCCGACCGACGACCACTGCGGAGAGACAACAAATATCGCCTTCTGATCTATGGAGTATCCCGAAATTGTGGTGGGCAATACCGAAGAGATGACGTCCAAGTAACCAGTGATCATCTGTAACTCTGACAATACTATTTGTGCCATTACGTATAACTTTTCATACACGAGTATCATAAAATCCATTTTTCTTGTAAATTATTAGTAGTTTATCATTTTAGTTTACTTGACATTCTTTGGGGTCCACTACAAGTCATAGGGAAGCCTGCTTCCACTAAAGAAAAGCCCAAGTCTAGTAGTAAACAGGCCAGTTACATAAACTGCGAGTCTTCTCGGCAACTTTGGGTGTGGCCCGTCCGGTCGCGTCGGCTTTCTAATATTCGCGGTGCTTAATTTCCTCAATACATCATCTTAATCGATATCCGCAGAGCTTTCTCTGTTGGACATCAATGAGTCTACTGTCAAGTTAGCGTATCAAGAAGGTTCCTGAGTAAAAGCCTCGACAAAATATTTTACCATAGCCTCTACCTTTTTCTTATTCTCTTCGAGTAACTGTTTGTTTTCCATCTCTTCGACTACACTCTGAGTTCAGCTGCGGCGACGGTCCCTCATAAGGCTGTTGCCATGAATCTGATGATCATGGAATGATTACTTTTAGCAAGAGCGCCGGCTAATGGATGAAGCTCATCTCATCCGTAGAAGAGAATATTAAATCTATGACCAATGAG